TTAATTTTGGTGTTGTTCTGCTTTTGCTGTGTTTTGTGTTGTCGAAACTATAAAATTATTTAAAGTCTCAGGTAATATACCATATTTATATTTCATATCATATACCATATTTATAATTCATGCAATGTACCATATTTATATTTTAATCCATATATGATATTAATTTATAATTCATGCAAGTTTCCATATTTATATTTCAATCCTTATACCATATTTATACTTCATGCCATATACCATATATATATTTCAATCCACATACCTACCATACTATTATTTCATGCCATATAAAATATTTATATTTCAATCCATATACCATATTGATATTTCATGCCACATACCATATTATATTTCAATCCATATATCATATTAATTTATAATTCATGCCATATACCATATTTATATTTCAATCCATTTATCATATTTATAATTCATGTCACATACTATATTTATTATATTTCAATCCATATATCATATAGATATTTCATGCCATATACCATATTATATTTCAATTCATATATCATATCTATATTTCATGCCATATACAATTAAAAAAAAAGTTTCATGAGCTTTAGGCAGAAAATCGAGATACCGATTCGGAAATATGTTACTGATTGTTTAGGAGTGGAAGAAAAATAGGAGGTTTTTTTAGTCAAGGGACGCAACTTTATTATGTCTATTTTTTAAAACTATTATAGGAATTATATACCTTATAATAAAATAAAAAAAATAAAAAAAATAAAATAAATGAAGCCACAGAACTAATAAAAGATTTAACAAATCAAACTTGAATTATCTTCCTGCAGACCGCGTCAACATTTTAGTACGATTTTTGAGATTGTTTGTTGACAATATAATGATCATTATTGTATGTTTCTGATGACTTCTTCGTGGTCATCACTGACGAAGGGTGGGGGGGGGCACGGGGGCACCGGGGCAACCAGGCACCCAAAGATGACGTCAGGCAGCAGGGCGGGGTGGGGGTGGGAGATGGCACGAATTTGTGATAATATATTATGAAGTTGTCATTGCTTAGTGAAAAGTTGAAGGCGATTATTATTTTTAATTTTTTTTGTTTTTTGTTTTGGATTGGGGTGGGGGTGGAGCTAGAGGTTAAACGTTAGCTAACATCATGTGACGGTATATTATTGGGCGGAGTTAGAGGTCAAAAGTTAGCTAACTTAGCGTGACGCTATTTGGGGGCGGAGCTAGAGGTCAAAAGCTAGCTAACATCGCGGGACGCTATTTATGGAAAGCCCGCACTGAGCTCCCATTATAATACAGAATGAATCTTTCTTTCCTGGCAGAGTCACTGCAAGGATAATTCGGGATATCATTGGGATACCGGAAGTTGTCCAAGCGTGGGGGCCCACTGTGACGGGGCTGGGCGCCATCTTGTTATGTTACGAAACCATTGACTGGGAGGTGTCTAATGTGATGAACGAGACAATCCGGCGTTTGTATTCCTAAACATACATCAATCAATCAGTCAATCAGTCAATCAATCAATCAGTCAATCAATCACCAAATTTAAGCCCTCGAGACGGTGCTGTGTGCTCATGCCAGGTAAATTGTGAGAAAGATTAAAAGTCATGAGTTATTGCGTTGTCGGGAAATATCAACGGTGGGTGATGGAGCGGGGATGATTGAGGGGGGGGGGCTGTGGCTGTGAGGATTGGGCTGCTGTATCCTTGATGATTGAGGTGCTGTGGCTGTGATGATTGGGGTGCTGTGACGGTTATGATTGGGTTCTGTGACTGTGATGAATGAGGTGCTGTGGCAGTGATGATTGTTGTGCTGTGATTGTGACAATTGAGATGCTGTGACGGTAATGATTGAGGTGCTGTGACTGTGATGATTGAGGTGCTATGACTGTGACCATTGAGGTGCTGTGACGAAGATGATTGGGGTTCTGTGACGATGATGATTGAGGTGCTTTGACGATGATGATTGTAGTGCTGTGACTGTGATGATTGAAGTGCTGTAACTTTGACGATTGCGGTTCTGTGATTGTAATGAGTGAGGTGCTGTGACTGTGATGATTGAGGTGCTTTGACTGTGATGATTGAGGTGCTTTGACTTTGATGATTTAGGTGCTGTGACGGTGATAATTGGGGTGATGTGACTGTGATGATTGAGGTGCTGTGACTGGGATGATTGAGGTGCTATGACTGTGATGATTGGGGTGCTGTGTCTGTGATGATTGGGGTGATGTGTCTGTGATGTTTGCGGTGCTGTGGCGGTGATGATTGAGATGCTATGACTGTGATGATTGTGGTGCTGTGACTCTGATGATTGAGGTGCTGTGAATGAGAAGATTGAGGTGCTATGACTGTGATGATTGAGGTGCTGTGACTGGGATGATTAGGTGCTGTTACTGTGATGATTGGGGTGTTGTGACTGAGATGATTGGGATGCTGTGATTGAGATGATGGGGGTGCTGTGACTGGGATGATTGTTGGGCTGTGAATGTGATGATTGGGGTGCTGTGGCGGTGATGATTGGGGTGCTGTGAATGTGATGATCGGGGTGCTGTGAATGTGATGATTGGGGTGCTGTGACGGTGATGATTAAGGTGCTTTTATGGTGATGATTGGGGTGCTGTGACGGTTATGATTGGGGTGCTGTGACTGTGATGATTGGGGTGCTGTGACTGTGATGGTTGGGGTGCTGTGACGGTTATGATTGGGGTGCTGTGACGGGTATGATTGGGGTTCTTTGAATGTGAAGAATGAGGTGCTGTGGCTGTGACTGTGAATATATATATTGTTGGGCTTACACCTCATATATATATATATATTCATTGCCATAATTAAATAACCTTTAAATGTTTCAGATTCTAAAAACAGTTCGGAGGCCTTTATCCTGTCAAGCCGAGCCATTAACAAACCTGCCCAGAGATCATGGAATGTTCGCCCCCCCCCCTTCCCCCTCACTCAATTCCACCGAAGTCACCCTTTCCAGCAGTGCAATCAACAGACCTGCCCAGGGATCAGGAAATGTTTGCCCCCTCAAGTTCACCGAAGTCACCCTTTCCAGCAGTGCAATTAACAAACCTGCCCAGGGATCAGGAAATGTTTGCCCCCTCAAGTCCACTGCGGTCACCATTCCAATTTTTGCCCGTGAGGTCGTTGCAGCCATCATTTTCTAATGTTCACTGGTCAAGTTTAATATTGTTTTTAGGGCTGTCTCCACCGTCTTCGGCGCTGTTGCGGGCAGTATTCCTGGGATAATCGTCACCTTCTGTGTCTAAGCAGTCTCCACCGTCTTCAACACTGTTGCGGGCAGTATTCCTGGGATAATCCTCACCTTCTGTGTCTAAGCAGCCTCCACCGGTTTCACCTTTGTGGGCAGTATTCATGGGATAAACACCTCACCTTCTTTGTCCAAGCCCATGGAGGGACAACTCATAATTGTTTTAGCCTAACGCGTCAGCGATGTGATAAGTCTTAGCTAAAAATCTGAAAGCCATTTTTCTATATAACCCGGTCCAGACAACGTTCATGAACTTACTGTGGTCAAAGGTTTTTTTGTTTGTTATCATGTCAACAGTTCTATCATCCCACATTAGAAACATTTCACTGAGAACATCTTTTTCGCTCCAAACTTTAAAAAAAAAAATCTTTGTACACACTATGTAATGACGTAACAATGAGAAGTCCAGCAACCAATTTGTCTTTTTTTTATTAATGTTGGATCTTACACCTAGACTAAGGTGATATTTTCGGATTTCTCATATTATCGTTTCCCCCTTAAATACAAAGTAGAATGTAATCATTTGTAAAGTTTAGGCAACCATAGTGACCCTGGAAGAATTAGGCAACACCAACTGTACGTTGTACCCATTAAATTATGAAATATTTCAAATTAAATTATTGTGATGAGTTATTTGTTGAATTTTCAGCCTTAAAAATTTCCTAAACCACACCCACGATGACCAGCATCCACATTCACACAACCCACTCACCGAACTCACCTACACCCTGTCAGGGTGACTTTTGTAGTTCTAGAAGCAGAGAGCTAGAATTGTAGCACCACAGCCTGTCAATAGGACTTCTGTAGTTCTACAGAGAGAGAGAGAGAGAGAGAGAGAGAGAGAGTGAGAGAGAGAGGGTGGGAGAGAGAGTGAGAGAGAGGGCGGGAGAGAGAGAGAGAGAGAGCAGAGAGAGAGAGAGAGAGAGAGAGAGAGGGTGGGAGAGAGAGTGAGAGAGAGGGCGGGAGAGAGAGAGAGAGAGAGCGTTCTATCATCAAAGCCTGCCAGGATCATGTCAAAGGGGAAAACCTTCAGAGTGATATCATTCGTCCAACTCCTAGTTATGTTATGGAAACTTATGGGATCTAATATACGTAGATAAGAAAGAGAGAGAGAGGGAGAGAGAGGGTGGAGAGAAAAAGAGACAATAAGAGAGGGAGTGGGAAGAGAAAAAAAGAGATAAAGGAAGAGCGAGAGAGAGAGGCGGGGGGGGGGAAGAGAATGAAGGGAGAGAGAAAGGAGAGGAAAAAGACAGAGATAGAGAAAGAGAGAGAGGGAGGGGAGAGAGAGGGAGGGGAGAGAGAGAGAGGGGGGATAGAGTAAAGGGAGAGGGCAAAGAGAGAGACAGAGAAAGAGAGAGAAAGAGAGGGGGAGAGAAAGAAATTCAAACAAGAAAGAAGGATAAATTGAGAAAATGTAGTCCTGCAATAAAAGCAACAACTCATCAGAGAAATAGGACACAGGGATGTTACAACATGATTGGAATCAGAGATATATGACACAAGGGATGTTACACCATGTTTGTAATGTTGATCAGCGATAAAGAGGATGAATAAAGCAGACTAAAATAAATACGTATTTGTTTCATTGCTGACGATTTAAAATTTAGAATCTTTACTTTGACGTAATCTAAATCAGACTACAGAGTGATATCCCTTGAATGGGACAGGAAATGCAATGGGTCCTACTTTGTCAAGACTGAGAAACGAAAAATAACTCTTTTTTTTTTTAATTGTTGTTGTTGTATAATCAGGTATTCATTTGTCATCGGTGTGTGGATGAGTTTCAAAGTGCACAGAGGACGGCCACAATGATAGAGCCGACATTCGAGGATCGCCTGTCCGTGATGGCCAACGGCGATGAAATCGTCTCGGGCGCCGTCCAAGGCGAGGACTCTTTGATGCACAGCTACCTGTCCAAGAGCGGCGACAGATTCCCCATCGGCTCTCTGATTGAAGACAGCCTGACCGATGGGTTCAAGGACATGGTGGCCACCCTCCAGTCGGAGCTACGCACCTCCGTTTTTATGAGCGGACCGCACGACCCATTCAGAACCATCCCGATACGACTAATAGGTATCGAGTAGAGACTCGAACTTCAGTTTTTTTCATTTCGGGGCCCGGTAACAGAAGTCCGAATATCGCTGTAGAGATCGAATACGGGAGTACGCGGAATCGATTTTTATCGATGGTTTATCTCAAGGGTCGTAGACATTTCTCATCCTTTCTGGCTTAAGATTTTGGTTTCTATAGAAAATCATGGGAGTTGATATACCTATGTCAGGAGTGGGAGTTGATATATCTATGTCAGGAGTGGGAGTTGATATATCTATCGCAGTTAAGAGTGGAATTGACAAAATCCCGTTATTTAGCCCCTGACTTCATCGGCGACTTGTGTTAAGACTCCACAGAGTGTATTCGATGTCAGTACTATGTTACCCATTCTTGGAGTCAGTACGATACTACCCGCTGTTGCAGTTGGTACTATTTTAACCACTCTTAGAGTCAGTAGTAGATCTCTTTTACCCAATCTATGAGTCAGTTCTATATTTACTTTTTTTGTTAGAACTATAGTTAAAGAAATCTCTTTAAAACACTAAGACACCTTCCTTTTGGAAGAATGTGTTTCACAGTGGCTGTAATGATTGGTGAACTGGGGTCAACAATGGCCGGGGTGTGCTTGCGTCACAAGTGTCCTTCCCCACTGGACGTGCTTGTCAACTCGCTACATGAGACAGATCGTTCTGTTGAGGGAATGTTTCTGTTTTCTCTGTCCAGGTTACACTTTCAGCGTGGGTCAAGCTTTGAGTTATGGCTTTGATCCGGAATGGTCCGATCCGTTCTTCCTGCTGGGGATTGGTTTTATTGGCGTCCACTGCGTCCATCGGATGTCCGTCATTGCACAGGTAAGAAGGGGTATGGTTGCGACAGACCAAAGGTGTTACGTGCAGTGTATTGTGATGGTGTTACATGCAGTATATTATAATGGTGTTACATGCAGTATATTATAATGGTGTTACATGCAGTATATTATAATGTTGTTACATGCAGTATATTATAATGGTGTTACATGCAGTATATTATAATGGTGTTACATGCAGTATATTATAATAGTGTTACTTGCAGTATATTATAATATGCAGTATATTATAATGGTGTTACTTGCAGTATTTTGTAATGGTGTTACATGCAGTATATTGTAATGGTGTTACATGCAGTATATTGTAATGGTGTTACATGCAGTATATTGTAATGGTGTTACATGCAGTATATTGTAATGGTGTTACATGCAGTATATTGTAATGGTGTTACATGCAGTATATTGTAATGGTGTTACATGCAGTATATTGTAATGGTGTTACATGCAGTATATTGTAATGGTGTTACATGCAGTATATTGTAATGGTGTTACATGCAGTATATTGTAATGGTGTTACATACAGTATATTGTAATGGTGTTACATGCAGTTTATTTAATGTAGAGGTGGGGGTTATCTTGATGACGTAAAAGAGATGACAAAATAAATTAATTCCATTTAGAGACATATCCAACATGTTAGCAAAAGCCCCTACCCCAATCAGGTACGCCCCCACCCCCCAACTGAACCGACCATGGTAGTCATATTTATTTAAGATATTCTAATATATTAGAAGTTTTGTCTTTGTGCTCCCTCCCCCCCCCTTTTTTTTCTTCTTTCTTCTAGTACAACCACGACAATCTCCTGGCTGCCCTCCATCCCACGTACCTTAGAGACGCCTTCACTGCCATGTACGACACATTCATTTGGGAGATGCTGGCCTCCTTCATTGTACCTTCAATGATCACCTATGGAGCTTGCAGGTAGGTCAGATGGAAATAGTGAATACCTTTGGAACTTGCAGGGTAGGTCAGGTGAAAACAGTGATTACCTATGGAGCTTGCAGGTAGGTCAGGTGGGAACACGCTTACGTAAGTAAGACTAGGTTAAGTTAAGTTAAGTTTGGTATAATACACAAGTCGTTCACGGTCATTGGTGCAGACGCGGATCCAAGGTTTAATCCCTTGCACAACCAGGGGAATCTTATAGACGTTATTTGTTAATCAAGAAATCTAGAATATCATCCATTATGATACATTAAGTAGGTAAGGAACTTGCTTCTTTGGCCAAGACATTTGGTTCCTATAAGATGAAAGGAAAAAAAAAATTACAATGTTAAAACTACAAAAACGTGTCTGGCTCTTCCAGGATCTTAGACGCAACACTAGTACTCTTTGGACGTTTCACAAGGCCCTTGCGTAAGAGAGGCCCCATACTGATTAGCCTCGCCCTGCTGCCCCTGATGGTCGTCCCCGTGGATATGGTTGTGGATTCTTTCATGAACCAGTGCATCCGACCACATTACGCCTGAGCTGTGTTGATACAAGCGGGACAGGGGGGGGGGCGGTTGTTTTTGTACTCGGTGCGTGCGGTGGTAGAGTAGTTGTACCGTAGTTTGAGCTGTGCTTGGTGTCCGGTACAACAGCATCACAGTCCGGACCTGGTGGAAAATTGTTCTTATGCCCGAAATATTAGAAATGAAAGTGTGCTTTACTTTCTTATATTTGTAACTATTTGTGTGTGTGTGTGTGTGTGTGTGTGTGTGTGTGTGTGTGTGGTCATTTTGTTGATAGGTTTATTTTAAACAGTTGTATACAGTTGTATTTCACTGGACTAAAATTAAGGGAAAAACTGTTGGAAGAATTAGCCACTTTGTAGGTTTTTACATTTACCAATAAGGAGAAACAATGAATCTGTGGGGAAGAGGGGGGGGGGATCAAGAAAATAGGGTGTCACGTAGGAATGCAACAACTTTTGAAATATGATATGCCCAATAAAACTATAAGAATAGATCTCGTTTTGAAACAATTGTTTTTTGTGTTGGTGTTTTTTTAAAATATATATTTTTTTTTATCTCAGTTACAATGCAACGTCCCCTTTTTGCCCTTCCACATAATGATAGAAGCAAATTATCGGGGACTTGATAAAAAACAATGTAAGACTCGTTGGTCATTCGGTACACTACACAAAAATTCATACAGTTGGTGCCATGACGTCATTTCATGTTTTTTTTTAAATATTTTTTTTTTAAGTTTCTGTTTTGGATTCACTCCCCTTGTTGCTGTTTACTAGAGTTAAATTTTCCTTAATATTGCGAGGGAATGTTTTTGAATTAAAATTTTTATTGGTTGCTTAATTATAATTGTAAAATTTCATTGGTTGGGTAATTATAATATTTTATTTTTTTTCCGCCATATTTGAAAATGGATTTGTATTGCATTTTTTTTTTTTTTTTTTGGATTTTTTGAAGAAATTTGGATTTTTTTTTTGGTGAAACGTGAAATAAAGTGTGTCAATGTGTTGTCTTTGAAACTGTAAGTTGGGTTTTCATCATTTTACAATAATTTTTTTAATTGTTTTTTTTTTTTTTTTTTTTTTATTTTATTTTTATATTTTTTTTTTTTGGTTATTTTTATTTTTTTTTTTTTTTTTTTTTTTTTTTAAAAATGGTTTTTTTTTTTTTTTTTTTTTTTTTTTTTTGGATTTTCTGAAGAAATTTGGATATTCTTTTTGGTGAAACGTGAAATAAAGTGTGTCAATGTGTAGTCTATGAAACTGTAAGTTGGGTTTTCATCATTTTACAATAATTTTTTTAATTGTTTTCCTTCATTTTTCTGGTTTCTTGCCACAGTGTGTAACTCTAGCCGCACACCTGTTTTTTGTTTTTGTTTTGAGGTTTAGGCTTACTTTTAGGCTTTAGGGCTAGGTTTAGGCTTACTTTTAGGCTTTAGGGCTAGGTTTAGGGCTACTTTTAGGCTTTAGGGCTAGGTTTATGGCTACTTTTAGGCTTTAGGGCTAGGTTTAGGCTTACTTTTAGGCTTTAGGGCTAGGTTTAGGGCTACTTTTAGGTTTTAGGGCTAGGTTTAGGGCTACTTTTAGGCTTTAGGGCTAGGTTTAGGGATACTTTTAGGCTTTAGGGCTAGGTTTAGGGCTACTTTTAGGGTTCATGTTAGGTTTACACATAGTTTTAGGGTCCAGGTTAGGTTCAGGGATAGATTTAGAGTTTAAAATATTAGCAGACGTGTTTTTTTAGACGGCCGCCATCTTGGTTGCCACGACCCGTGAAAGGTCATGGGTCGTGGCAACCAAGATGGCGGCCGTGGGATACGCCATGGCATCAGATATCTTCATTTACCAAACAAATAACTAGTAGCATAATTTGTAACATAATTTGTAGCATAATTTGTAGCATAATTTGTAACATAATTTGTAGCATAATTTGTAGCATAATTTGTAGCATAATTTCTAATTTTACGAAAAAGATTCATTCATTTTTTGGTAGGCCTTAGGGGGCCGGTTTAGAGGTTTCCTTGGATACGTAAAAGCGTGAGAACTTAAAAAGTCGTCATGGGTTGCCATCTCAAGTCTAAATAATTTTCGTTGTTTTTTGGGTTTTTTTTTTGTTGAGATTACGAGACGTGATTACAAAAAAAAATTAACGTACACTGGTACGGGATTATTTTAATAATCAGAGTCGTGCAGAGTTTTCTGTAACAGCTTTAAACCTTTGTCTGTTCTATCAGTTCATTTACTTTCATGAAAATTATTAATCAGTCGGTAACCTCGAACAGTTACATTCAAAGATAAACTTGAGCAACATACAGAATTCATTACTTGCGGAACAACACCCCCCCCCCCAGCAACAACAGCTCTCTAAAATGTTTGGGGCACATTTCCATAATATAGGAATCTTTGGTTAAAAAAAAAAACACACACAAATAACCAGCAAAAAAACAAAACAAAAAAAACAACAACCAACGTTTGCATACATTAAAACATTTTCGAATACTCTCATAACAAATGCCTACGCTACACCTCACAGACGTACTGTCAGGAGCTAACCCTTTTCATCATAAAGTCAGGTAGTTCAATAAATATCTGATTCTTAACCAAAAAGTTAGACCCTTTCATTCAACGATCAACAACAACAACAATCGGACGTCATCACCAGTTTCTCTAACGATTCAGGCTAGTAGCCTAAAACATTTTATTAAGACACCATTCAACGTGTCAACATGTTAGCCATAAAGCATATAACTTTCACAGCTCTAGCATTTGCCAGGATAATGTATGCTTTTTTTCAAAGATAAACACTACCAAGCCATTAAAGATAAGGTTTATCTTCAAAGTATTCTAAATTTGTGGTTCCTTATTTCGGCGACGTTACAGTACCATTTTTTTTCTCCTTGGATTAAAATCTTGATAGCATTACAAGTGCGAGTTTACAGCGTACATCCTTTCCCATCAGACATGACCTTTCTTTTCTAGAAATATACAACTTTAAATCTAATTTAAGATAACATCATGTCTGAACCGAACACACGGGCCTGGCCCAGTTAGACTCTGCCTATAACTTGACCGAGGCGACATGCTGGGGGGTCATTTCTGGGCGAGATCAAGGTCGAGTCGGGTCACCATGCTGGCGTTAGTTCTACTGTCCATATGTGCAGGTATGTTCAATCTGGTCAGACGATTAAACAGTTTCATTTTGCGTTCAGTTTATTCTAAATTTGGTGTCCATATAAATCCCCATTTTACTCCCCCCCCCCCCCAGGGCCGTGGACCCATTGAACGAAAAATGTTCATTATCTCTTTCTTTTTTTTGGTTTTTAAAAGGTCTTATTACATCATTTTAATTAAAGAACTGATAAATTTATTCTAAATTTGGTGTCCATATAAATCCCCATTTTTTCCCCCCCCCCCCCCCAGGGCCGTGGACTCATTGAACGAAAAATGTTCAATATCTCTTTCTTTTTTATGGTTTTTAAAAGGTCTTAATACATCATTTGAATTAAAGAACTGATAAACTATTCAAGTATGTGTAGCCTTTATTATCTTATTTAATTCTCATCATTATTACTATTAGTATCAGCAATGCTATCATTATGTACATTAACGGCGAATGTGTAAAGATGTGAAAAGATACGTGCACAAAGGCCAGTACTTGGTTGCAGCAACGTAGCGTATCAGAGCTAACTCATATTGTTCTATTGACACAATTTGTTCGTGTCTTATTAATATAACTTATCAGAGTAAGAATGTGCAAAGACTAACTTTGTATGGCTTTATTTTTTTTATTCATGAGGTAATTGGTTAACATTCATATAAAAAATAAAAAATCTTTACAAACTAGCTAAGGGTTTTATTGGAGATTAAAGCACACATTGTTAAGTCAAAGTGCAAATAGTCCCCGACTTTGCTCTTTTTTTTGGCGGATGCAGCAAGGTGGATGATCTCTTCTTTGAGAATGCATTTGAAGCTTATGCTTACACTGACACCAACATGGCTGAAATGTATTCAGAATGGAAGTTTTAAAAAAAATCTTATGAAATGACACGATTAAAGAAAATGGCTTAGGGTTTATTCAAATGAGAAGAGAAAATTTGCCAAAGACGCTACAACTGATGCACGGACGGTTCATCTTAGTAAACTTAAGCCTTGGGATGAGTAAGACAAAGAGAATTTCTGCGATCTTTGTGACCATCCCATTTTTAGCTAGGATCGAACGTTTTCCCACAGAGTTTGAGATCCCGCGCATGGCGCTGTTGTCAACCTTGTATGTCAATTCAGATCAAATCTACATTATTTTGTTTTTGCTTATACAGCCGCCTCTGCCCTCCCCTCCTCCAACTCCACCCATGGCTTCTCCACCGCTCGCCTGACCAAGGAGGACTACCTCTACCTCAGGACCATCCCCAGAACTAAAGCCACGTCCCCCATCCCCGGGTTCCACTACATCTACGTCGACAGCACCGGGGCCGCCTCTTGGAACGCCAACCCGTCCATCTACCAGGTCGAGATCGCCGGCTCCCCGTACACGTCCCAGGCCGCCCTCCAGGCCGCGGCCGGCTACGTGGCCAAGATGACCAGGAACATGCCGCTCACCATCTTTGCTTCTCTGTGCACCAAGTCGTCTCTGGGGATTTTCACCGCCCGCGAGAAGCTGATCGTGTACCCAGAGTACGCCTACATGGCTAACGGGAACTGCGGCACTTCGTGTTCGGGTGAGTATCGTATGCTTCAAAGCCCTCTGCACCGTCGTTTTCGTTATTGGTGTGTATAGCGGCGACTATGCGTACACGGGTCCCTTTAGACTAAATCCCATTCGGATGTCATTTTTTTGGCTGTTTATTTTAGTTAAACTGAAGGAGTAAGTTTACAAACATACGGTCCATTCAATTATATTTCATTCGATACCTCATTTTGTCGTACAAACACAACAATAATATTTTAAATAGTTTGTTTAATCCCAACATCTCACGTCTGAAAGCCGGGTGTGAATAGAAACGTCGTAAAAGAATTTAGAAAGTACTTTTAAAAAAAAAGAAACCATTATATTAGCAATGATTAATAGAATTATGAGATTAAAATCTTAGTGGCACTATTTAATAGAAACTCACCTTGACTTGACGACTAAATTATTCTCATAGAAACTCACCTTGACCTGACGACTAAATTGGTCTCATGGGGGCTAACCTTAAACACGTGACTAATTCGTTTTGCATTTCCCACAAGGCTCCTGCCAGCAGACGTGCACCTTTGACGGCCGGAAGTACCAAGACATCGCCGGGGTCGGAGGTCAGCGGGCGGTCATCCTCGACGACAACGTCCTGTGCACCCCCAACGACCCGTACAACAACCGGGAGAACATCCTGGCCCACGAGTTCACCCACACCATCCACCAGTTCGCCCTCTCCAACCAGGACCGCGCCAACATCCTCGCCGCGTACAACAACGCCAAGTACTACCAGACGTGGACGCTCTCCTCCTACGCCATGTCCAACGAGATGGAGTACTTCGCCGAGGCGGCGACCGTGTTCTTCGGCGTCAACAGCTACAGCAACCTCAACACCGGCGGCATGAACGTCTGCGGCGCGCAGTACTGCAACGGCGAGATGGCCGGGAGGAGCAGGCTCCAGAGCCACGACCCGTCCCTCTTCAACATCCTGTCCTACGTGTTCACCAACAGCCGTCCGCAACTGACCAGTGGTCTGACCGTGTGTCCGTCATCACTGGTGGTAGGTTAAATTATCGCAGACATGTTTTTTTTTTTTTTTGTGTATACTTGGGAGACTGTTTTTAAATTTGTGTCTTAATTTTTGGTTGGTAGTTTAATAAAATTTTTTTTAAGTATCTTTTTCATTGTTTGAAATAATTTTTAATAAGAAAAAATATTTGGGTAGGTTAAATTATCGCAGACATGTTTTTTTTTTTTTTGTGTATACTTGGGAGACTGTTTTTAAATTTGTGTCTTAATTTTTGGTTGGTAGTTTAATAAAATTTCTTTTAAGTATCGTTTTCATTGATTGCAATAATTTGTAATAAGAAAAAATATTCAAGATTGGACGCAACATGACTGGATGTGTAATGATTGGATGTGTAATGATTGGATGTGTAATGACTGGTTTCGTTATGATTGATCTGTAATGATTAGAACTGTACTGATTTGATAAGTCGGGATTTGAAATTTGGTCAACGAATATTTCACGAAAGAAATGCTTTAGGAAATCACGCACCCACAAGTTACAACAAAGACCGAAGATTCTGAGACCACGTTCCAGCGGAGCCAGCATCTTGTGTAACTTGTAAGGGAGTACTGACATCCTCAGGCTTCTTTGCGGTGGCCAACACAACGTAACTTTGATTTTAAAAAAACCTTGTTCAATTTTTATGTCGGTGTCCGAAAATACCGGGAATTTCCCACCTTTGAGCGCAGACATGTTTTAGAAAAAAATATTAGTGTATTAAAAGTTTGAAAACATTCAGAATGCACCACCACCCCCCCCCCCCCCCCCCAGTGATTATTTCAGAAATTCCCCCCCCCCCCAAGCAGTGCCAGTTGATTTATTGTTGGACATATTTTTGCTCGGGGGGGGGGACACTAGGCTTTCCCTG